ATCATCTTGGATTTTTCTGTACGTGAAATACCAAGAGCAGACAAAGAAATAGCCAAGGTTCAAGACACCTCCAATGACCAAAACCCAGTACACATTGTCCACTCTCCCGTGGTTAATGTCGTCTGGTAACCACGCGGTGGTCCTCTGTATCAAGTTTATTAGAGCTGTACTTAAATAGAAGGAGATTCCAAACGCCACCGAGGTCACAGAGGTTGCTGTGTTCCTCATAGACTCAGGGAACTCTCCATAGAACACTGCAACATTCGCCATATAATGAAAGGCATCGCCAATTCCAACTATCACAAGAGGTGGTAACAGCCATAACACTGACATAGGATGCTCATTTTCAACTGTTTTCAGCCTTTTTGCTTCCACGATGGCGGAGATTGCCATGCTAAGGATGTTGAAAACTTGGCCTATACCGACTTGTTGCAGTGGTGTCAGCTGTTTATGAGTTATCTTCTGATAGATGGGATAAATAGTCCAGTTATTGAGCACGAGAAAGACGCATGAAGAGATGAGTACTATTACTTGTAGAGACCCGGCCGGGACTTTAAATTTAGAGTCGAGTCCTCGGTCTGTTACCAGAGCTTGGAGAACCGTCATGCTTGCTTGGACACCAATGGAAGTTCCAACGAATAAGATTGCTAACCATAGAGGAAGAACTCTGAGAACAGATTTAAAATCTTCTACTTCCTCAACAGAACATAACCTCCAAGGGTTATGACATAAGCCATCTTCTTGATTTAAGTCCTTTTCGCTCTTTAATGCTGCACGGTTCAAAAACCTGTACATATAAAAGCTTGTTTAGTTCATGTTTTAGAATTCACAACAACACAAGCTTTTTATATTCACCTGAAGCTCTTGGAAGGCATTCCAATACAAGTCTTGGATTCTTTTTCAACTTCCCGGTGATAATCTTCTTCTTTGGAAGAGGTCACTACCTTGATTTTCAGTATAGCAGCGACTAAGACGCGGATAAGGCTTGTGAAGGGACTTCCCATTGGTTTGTCATGCTTGTAGAATCTCTTCCCGGAAATGAAAACTATGAAACTGATCAAATTAGCAGCTGCACAAAGTCCAAACCCGAGTCTCCAGCTAGCATTCTCCTGTGTATATACAATTGCTGTCGCGCTAATAATCGCGCCTGTATTTACCGTGAGGAAGTACCAGTTGAAGAAGCTTCCTTTGTCTCTAGGTTTATCATACTGGTTTGCACCAGCAGATGCCAAAGCCACCCGTGTCCCAGAAGTTCCAGCAGTCACTAGAGCTAACGCTGCATACAAGACCCCGAGGTGGAGTTTTGATGGCGATTGGCATAGGATTGAGCCTGTTTCACACGGTCTAGGTCTCAAGTTTTCGAAAGATGAGATCAGAGTCAAGAGAAAGATGCCCTGAAAAAAACGTTTTAAAACTTGTGAGCTTTGTAGATAAAGATAGTAGAGAATCAAGGAGTTCTTGGACTAACTTACAAGCAGAGAAATGAAAGCAGAAGCTGAGATTACGGAAATGTTTCCAAAGAAAGAATCAGCGAGAATGGCAGTAACAACAGGCAACATGCTGAGACATCCATTGACAATGTTTGAAATCTGAGCAGCAGCTATACTCTTGATGTTATATTCCTCGATCAAGAAGACAATCAAGTTCAGTACCCATCCATAAGAAGTCACTGAAATACCTAACAATGTAGCTGCACCAAATAGAACCCAAAAACACTTTGTGATGACCCTATGTTGCATCTAAAATAAAAATAAAAATCCTAAACACAAAACTAACCTATCATGAACGGAAAAGTGATGCAGCCACCGCGTTTGCAATCACCGGAGATCTTTGCTTCTGTGTCATTAGATAATACTAAACCAGCCATGATAGAGAACAGAGTAACTCTGTGTAAGCTGAGAAATGATTTTAATGTAAATAATGAGGAATAATGTGTCATTAGTCTTTCTTTATCCATGAAAATTAGTTTCTGACAGCTAGTGAATATTAAAAAGAGTTTACCAGATCATCGATTGTCATCACATGCATTATTCTTCAACAGTTTCATCCACTAGTTATTATTAAACATAAAAATACGTTTTAAGAATCATGTTGTCAATTTCACATAATGTACAATATAATCTTGACACTGAATTTGTATTTGGTGAAGTTTCACAAACCGAAAGATCTGTGGAAGTCATGAAACTGGTTCCTTCATTATTTTCATTGTAATTTTTACAAGAACATGTTGTGTCTTAGGTTGATTATCAAGACTACTACAATGCAAAGAAAACTAGGAAAACAACATGTTGTGTCCTAGGTTTTAACATCTTTAGGATCTTGTTCATGATCATCATCCTTGAGGTTTCTGTATTTGTAAAACCAAGAGCAGACAAGGAAATAGCCGAGATTCAAGACTCCTCCTATGACTACAACCCAGTAAACATTGTCAACTCTTCCATGGTTTATGTCATTTGGTAACCACGAGGTGGTTCTTTGGATCACGTCGATAACAGCTGTGCTCAGATAGAAAGAGATTCCAATCACCACTGAGGTCAATGAAGTTGCGGTGTTCTTCAGAGACTCAGGGAATTCTCCATAGAATACTGCAACATTCGCGGGAAAATGAAACGCCTCGCCTATTCCAACCATCACAAGAGCAGGAACTAGCCATAGCACTGACATGGGATGGCCTCCATTTTCAACTGTTTTCAGTCTCTTTGCTTCCACAACAGCTGATATCGCCATGCTTAGGATGGTGAAAACGTGACCGATCCCAACTTGTTGAAGTGGTGTCAGTGGTTTGCCGATTAGCTTTTGGTACATGGGATAGATGATCCAGTTGTTGAGCATGATAAAGACACAACCAAAGACGAGTACTATGACTTGTAGAGACCCGGCAGAGACTTCGAAGTGCGGGCTAAGTTTGCGGTCCATGACCAAAGCTTGGAGAACCGTCATGCTCATTTGTACTGCCACGGGAGTGCTGAGGAACATGACGGCTGCCCAGAGAGGTACAAGTCGGAGAATGGCTTTGAAGTCTTCTACTTCCTGAACAGAGCATAGCCTCCACATGTTATTACTTGAGTCACCACTCGTGTTTAAATCTTCTTTGTTCTTTAATGCTGCACGGTTCAAGAACCTGAAAATGTAAAGCTCTTTTTAGTTCTGGTTAAACTTTCATGAATCAAGCAAGGTTTTGGACTTAACCTAAAGCTCTTGGAGGGCATTGTAGTATAAGTCTTGGCCTCTTTCCCGAGACCATATTGATGATAGTCTTCGTCTTTTGATGAAATCACTGCCTTTCTTTTCATTGTAGCAGCAACTAAAACACGGATCAGGCTTGTATAAGGACTTCCCAAGGGTTTGTCATGCTTGTAGAATCTAACCCCGGCGATGAAAACGATGAAACTGATCAAGTTAGCAACGGCACATAGACCGAACCCAAGTTTCCAGCTAGCATTGTCTTGTGTATATACAATCGCTGTCGTGCCAGTAATAGCTCCAATATACAGTGCAAGGAAGAACCAGTTGAAGAATCTTCCTTGTTCTTTAGGCTTCTTATATTGGTTCGCACCCGCGGCTGCCAAGGTGAACCGCGTCCCAGCTGATCCAATGATCACTAGAGCTAAGGCTACATACAAGATCCCAAGCTGTAGTTTTGATGGCGACTGGCATAGAATTGACCCCGTTTCACACGGTCTAGGCATCAAGTAGTTCAAAGATGTGATTAAGGTCAAGAGAGAGGTTCCCTGAAAAAATGGTTTTAAAGCTGGTAAGCTTTGTATATCAGAACATAGAATAGAATTAGTGAGTGTTAAACTTACAGCCAGAGAAATGAAAGTGGAGGTGGAGATGACGGGAATGTTCCCAAAAAAGGAATCAGCTAGGATGGCTGCAACAACAGGTAACATGTTGACAACTCCATTGACAACATTTGAAATCTGAGCAGCAGCGATGTTCTTGATGTGGAATTCCTCGATCAAGAAGACGATCAAGTTCATTCCCCATCCGAAAGAAGTTATGGACATACCTAATAATGTAACTGCACAACATAAAACCTCACCAGTATCAACATCTATATATGTTTTGGTTTCAAAAAAAAACAAAAAACAAACCTAGCATGAACGGTAAAGTGATCCAGCCACCACGCTTTTCGCTTGGATCGCTAGAGCGATGCGCTACTTCCGTGTCACCAGATTTTGAATCAGCCATGGTAGAGAACAAGATGAACCAGGAGGGCAAATGGAGTTATAATGCAAAGTTGACTTGTGTTTGTGTGTTATAATGGAGTTAGATAAAAGACTTGAAACTATATATATAAGCAAATCCATAACAATTATTATGTAGGTGCAGTGATTTGGTACTAATCTTGTTTGGTCCCAAAAAGACCTAATCAGATTCTGACAGTCCATCTACCGTTGGTGACAGTTATAGAAAACAATAAAATTATTTGACCAAATCTTCAATAGTACGTAGTATTCATAATCATCAGAAAAATATTCTAAAAAGAAACTTTGAATAATGTTAATAAAGAAATAAAAAACGCACGATCGAATATTGTGTCAAAATCGTTTGTATCAGCAGATGCATAAATATTTTTCTTATTGCCCAAAAAATGTATTTAAAAAAATCTAAGCACCAATCTCACGTTTGAAACTCTGTTTTCGTTCCCAAAAGTCAAATTTTCTGAAGCCAAATATTCAGGTCAAACAACAAATCACGAGACCATGCTACCAACGCTGTCATATATTAAGATTTTCTTCTCTCGGGTTTCACGGGCTTCATTTCATAGTACCCTATATTTGGTCCGCAAGATAAACGCCTTGCTTCCCAAGATATCTCTAATAATATTGTTTTCATATTCTCAAGCCAAATCTTACATCTTTCTAATAAGACATACAAGATTCAAAGTAATTTGTGGTGTTAAGTTTTCTCCAAATCATAGTTTGTATTAATTGATTTTGCTTGAATCTTTCAAGATTGCAAATGAAACTTTTTAGAAAAACAAAAAAGAGCAAAACAATTTGGACGATTTCTTGATTTGTGAGTGTGATCCTTGCAGATCTTATCTGTATCGTTCCAATTTTGTCGGATGTCCCCGAAGGAACAAACCTTTTGGCGTATGTTGATGTATATATGTGGTTAGATTGTGTTCACACAAACCGATGTGGAATGTCTATATAAGATGATTAAGATTAAGTAAAATACTAATTTTCTCTTGGCCCTTTTAGTTATGTTCTACTCGGTCCATTGGAGCTAGGATATTATAATCATGCACTACATACTAATTTGAGTTATGAGTTTGATACAAATAACATTTATTGGTAAAGGTAAACACAAATTAAACGGCAAACAGTGAGTTTGCATGGAGCACATAAGGTAGTTGCATGAAGACACAACTACAATATAGAGAAAACGAGGACAGAACACGTTAGTGTCCTAGTTTGTAACATCTTTAGGATCTTGTTCATGATCATCATTCTTGAGGTTTCTGTAATTGTAAAACCAAGAGCAGACGAGGAAGTAGCCGAAATTAGAGACTCCTATAATGACTAAAACCAAGTAAACATTGTCAACCCTTCCGTGGTTTATGTCATTTGGTAACCACTTAGTGGTCCTCTGGATCACATCGATAAGAGCTGTGCTCAGATAGAAAGAGATTCCCATCACCACCGAGGTCAATGAACTCGCGGTGTTCCTTAGAGACTCAGGGAATTCTCCATAGAATATTGCAATATTCGCTGGAAAATGAAAGGCCTCACCTATTCCATTAATCACGAGAGCAGGAACCAGCCACAGCACTGACATGAGATGGCTATTTTCAACTGTTTTCAGCCTCTTTGCTTCCACAACGGCTGATATCGCCATGCTTAGGATGGTCAAAACGTGGCCGACCCCGACTTTTTGAAGCGGTGTCAGCGGCTTGCGGATTAGCTTCTGATACATGGGATAGGTAGTCCAGTTGTTGAGTATGATGAAGACGCATCCAGAGACGAGTGCTATGACTTGCATAGACCCAGCAGAGACTTTGAAGTGTGGGCCAAGTTTACGGTCCATGACCATAGCTTGGAGGACAGTCATGCTCATTTGCACCGCTAGGGGAGCGCTGAGGAACATGACAGATGTCCAGAGAGGGACAAGTCGGAGAACGGCTTTGAAATCTTCTACTTCCTGAACAGAGCATAGCCTCCACATGTTATTATTTGAGTCTCCTTCTGTCTTCAATGCTGCACGGTTCAAGAACCTGCATAATAAAAATCCCTCTTTATTAGCTCTCTTTTTAAGTTCCATGAATCAGGAAAGCTTTTTGTTTTCACCTGAAGCTCTTGGAGGGCATTGCAACATAAGTCTTGGTCTCTTTTTCGAGCTCGCGGTGATGATAGTCTTCGTCTTTGTATGAAATCACAGCCTTTCGTTTCATTGTAGCAGCGACTAAAACGCGAACTAGACTTGTATAAGGACTTCCCAAAGGTTGGTCATGCTCGTAGAGTCTCTTCCCAGCGACGAAAACGATGAAACTGATCAAGTTAGCAGCGACGCAGAGACCGAATCCAAGCTTCCAGCTAGCATTGTCCTGTGCATATACAATTGCTGTCGTGCCAGTAATCGCTCCACCATATAGTGTGAAAAAGTACCAGTTGAAGAACCTTCCTTGTTCTTTAGGTTTCTTATATTGGTTTGCACCTGCGGATGCCAAGATGAACCGCGTCCCAGCTGTTCCAGTGATCACTAGAGCTAAGGCTGCATACAAGATCCCAAGTTGTAGTTTTGATGGTGATTGGCATAAAATTGATCCCGTTTCACACGGTCTAGGTCTCAAATAGTCCAAAGATGCAATAAGAGTCAAGAGCGATATTCCCTGAAAAATGTTTCAAAACAGGTAAGCTTTTATATCAGAAGTTGTTTAAGAAAGCATTAGGCATGCGGTGACCTAGTGTCTAGCACCTAAAACGCTTAGTCGGATAACCTTAGGCAGTTTAGCCAGTTTAGACATTTATTACATAAAACATTAGAAATATGAGCTTATACTTAAAACATTATATAAAATACATATTAGAAAAATAAAAATAGAATATCGTAAACAAAGTATAGACAAAACATTTCTTTAATGTACATCAAAACAATATATGAACGATTGTAACTATGTATATAGAGATAAAACCTACTTGAAAATTAGAAAATGCACTAAAACTAGGCGTATATACATTTTAGACGGTCGAAACAGTTGTTTAGGCATTGTCTGAGCGCCTTAAACTAGGTCTGTGTAATTTTAGGCGGTCAAAACGGTTGCCTAGTAACTGCCGATACCGTTTTTAAAACACTCATAACACATAAAAGAATTGGTGAGTGTTAAAACTTACAGTTAGAGAAATGAAAGCGGAGGCTGAGATGACAGGAATGTTCCCAAAAAAGGAATCGGCTAGGATGGCTGCGACAACAGGCAACATGTTGACAACTCCATTGACAATATTTGAAATCTGAACAGCTGCGATGCTCTTGATGTTGAATTCCTCGATCAAGAAGACGATCAAGTTCATTACCCATCCAAAATAAGTTATCGACATGCCTAACAATGTAACTGCACCACATAAAAACTTTACAATCATCAACATCTGTTTATGTTTTGAGTTCACATAAACAAAAGAGTCAAAAACACAAACCGAGCATGAACGGTAAAGTGATCCAGCCACCATGCTTGCTAGAGCGATGCGCTTCTTTGTCACCAGAGTCTGAATTAGCCATGGCAGAGAACAAGTGGAAGCAGGAGGTACTTTGACTTGTGTTTGAGTGTTATAATGCAGTTTAGATAACAACCGTAACCTATATATATAAGCAAATCCATATCAATTATTATATGTTGGTAGTGATCTTTTTTGGTGGCAAAAATTTCATATCAGATTCTGACAGTTCATCTCCTAGTGTCGTTTGCCAATATCAGGTTGGTGAATGTAATAAACAACTAAAAAGCAATCGCCCATATCTTGCCTTATCTTCAGTAGCAGTAAACCACTCCACAAGCATAAGAAAAGTATAAATAGACAAAGATTCAAGAACTTTAAATAAATTTTATTAAAATTTAATATACTCTCGACCAATCATTGAGTCACTTTTGTATGATAAGACCTTAAAATTATTAATTATGAATCAGGAAATACAGAAATGATTTCCTTTTTCTCCAACAAAAAAAAAAAACAAACCACGTTTCTCACATTTCAAACTCTGTTAGAATTAAGCAAGATAGTGAGAGTGGTTATGTAGTTGTTGAAAGAGTTTTTGTTGTCTGATTATTGTCATAAAAAAGGGTCTTTCAAGATGATCAAAACAACAAAAACCACAAGAACAGAACACGTTGTGTCTTAGGTTGTATCGTCTTTTGGATCTTGTTCCTGATCATCATCATCATTCAGGTTTCTATATCTGTAAAACCAAGCGCAGACAAGGAAATAGCCGAAATTCAAGACTCCTACAATGACTAAAAGCCAGTAAACATTGTCAACTCTTCCATGGTTAATATCATTTGGTAACCACTTGGTGGTCTTCTGGATCAGAGTGATCAGAGCTGTGCTCAGGTAGAAAGATATTCCAATCACCACTGAGGTCAATGAAGTCGCGGTGCTACTCAGAGACTCGGGGAATTCTCTATAGAATAATTCAATATTCGCCGGAAATTGGAACGTTTCTCCTATTCCTACTATCACAAGGGGAGGAACCAGCCATAGCACTGACATGGAATGGCCATTAGTAACTGTTTTCAGCCTCTTTGCTTCCACAATGGCGGATATCGCCATGCTTAAAATGATGAAAACGTGGCCTATACCGACTTTTTGAAGCGGTGTCAATGGCTTATGGGCTAGCTTCTGGTACATGGGATAGACAAGGCAATTGTTCATTAAGATAACAATACATGCAGTGATGATTACTATGACTTGGAGGGACCCGGCCGGGATTTTGAAGTGAGGCCCGAGACCGCGGTCTGTGACTAGAGCTTGTAGTATAATCAAGCTTGTTTGCGTCACCATGGGAGTACTAACGAAGATGATGGCTAGTAACAGAGGGAGAACTCGGAAAACGGCTTTAAAATCTTCTACTTCTTGAACAGAACATAGCCTCCAGTTGTTATTAACTGAGTCATCTTCGGTTTTCAATGCTGCACGGTTAAAGAACCTGCACATGTAAAAGCTCTTTTAAGTTCTGTTTTAAGTTTGATGAATGAAGCAAGTTTTTTTTGTTTTTTCACCTAAAGCTCTTGGAGGGCATTGCAGAAGATGTCTTGCCTTCTCTTCCAAGCCCATGGTGATAGTCTTCTTCTCTAGATGAAATCACAGCTTTCCTTTTTCTTGTAGCAGCGACTACAACGCGGATCAGATTTGTGAAGGGACTTCCCATTGGTTTGTCATGCTTGTAGTATCTCTTGCCAGAGACGAAAACTATGAAACTGATCAAATTAGCGACGGCGCAAAGACCGAACCCAAGTTTCCAGCTAGCATTTTCCTGTGTATATACAATTGCTGTTGCACCAGTAATAGCTCCAGTGTAGAGTGTGAGGAAGTACCAGTTGAAAAAGCTTCCTTGTTCTTTAGGTTTCTCATATTGGTTTGCACCCGCGGATGCTAAGGTAAACCGCGTACCAGCTGATTCAATGATCACTAGAGCTAAGGCTATATACAAGATCCCGAGCTGGAGTTTTGATGGCGATTCGCATAGAATTGACCCTGTTTCACACGGTGGAGGTCTCAAGTGGTCCAAAGATGTAATCATGGTCAATAGAATGATGCCCTGGAAACGTTTAACAACTAGTAAGCTTTGTGAGTCACACAAGACAATAGAATATTTAAGTCTCAGACTTACAAGCAAAGAAATGAAGGCAGAGACGGAGATGACGGGAATGTTTCCGAAAAAAGAATCAGCTAGAATGGCTGCAACAACAGGCAACATGCTCACACATCCATTAACAATATTAGAATTCTGCGTAGCAGCGATGCTCTTGATGTTGAATTCTTTAATTAGGAAGACGACCAAGTTCATCACCCATCCGAATGAAGCTATGGAAAGTCCTAACAATGTAGCTGCACCATATAGAGCCTTACAATCACTATCATTTGTCTAT